GCCGAGCCGAGCCGAAGCTCTGTCCGAATTACGCCGAAAAAATGGCCGATTGGTGGCAAGGAGAAGGAGTTTATGTTGATGAATTTCAAGCGGTATGTACTCATTATTCTGGTTTAATTTTTGTTGTTGTTATAAGTTTTTTAATTAATCTATGTACTAACCTCGTTGTTATTTTCTCGTAGGTTGGGGAGGACGTCGATATATACAACCAACGGTATTATCTCGAGCAAGGACCGGTGGATCCAACCGACTTGTACGACCAACCCAACCATCGGTCAAGGCATGTTTGGAACGATCACCCGGTACATACAATTCTTCACCATTTGTCCTTTTTTTTATTTTGTTAATGTGCCTAGTGTAATATAAAATAAATTTATGTTTATTTTTTAATCGTGTTGGTGGTTTTCAATAATTTAATCGAATACATAGCGCCACTTACTTCGACTCTTTATAAAGAGATGCACGTCTAAGGAAATGGGGTTTTAAGCGATTATCATATCCTCCCATTACCTGGGAAAATCGGGTATTAAGAGATCCTCGGATCATATCCTCCCATTACAACTAGCAAGAAGAATGATAATCGGAAATTATGTCGCATTAGCTGAGTCCGGCACATCAGCACCCGGATTTTGTGGACCAATCGGTCCTGGACACCTTCGTTTATCATGTCCTGGAACTTTGCATATTGAACATCGTCTTGGACCTCGTGGCGGTCTTCCACTTTGATCCATTTCATTTGGAATTCTCTTTTTCCTCGGGCGACCCGGTTCACGCCTTTGTCCGAATGGCGGGACGATCAATTTCCCTTCGTACAGCGGCCAATAAGCTTCATCAGGCAATGCACGGAAACTCTGTCCATAGGTGTTTTTGAGTGAGTCGATATTGAAGAATGGACTAATGAAGTGACGGGGGTCTTTGCTCCTGTTTTTAATTACGGCCATTGCATGAGAACAAGGCCACCCTCTCCCCTGATACTTCTGGCAAGAGCACTCACCAACTTTGGTCCTGAAATTGACCAAAACTTCATGACGGTGGCTCCCCCCTCTACCATCCTCCCGATGTCCGGTCGTCACGCTATACTCACCAGTTGCCCGATTCATAACGGTTACACTATGTCGACTGCTCTTGCGATTGTCATTATCCATTATTTCAGTGACTTTATAGGCATGGACCTTTCCCTGTGCCTCGTTCGTCCTTGCCCAGTGGAGTCGGTTCACGAACCATGCATTCGTTTTCCAAAAAGTCATCTCCACAATGGCAGAGATCGGCAGTGCACGAACGGCCTTGTAGACAGAGTTGATACTCTCACTTGAGTTGGTTGTGGCAATACCCCATCTTTTCCCTCCATCTTTATGAAATGTCCACATGGATAGATCGTGTCCATCCAGCCACTGTGCCCCTTCAGGGCATAACTCGCGCATCTTCTGCAACTTCTCCTGAAATTTTTTCTCCTGGTATGCAACCGCTGAATAACACACAGAAAAGTAGTACGTTAGTCAATGATCGTCAGTTTAGTACAATTTCAAACAACACGGTCATACTCTCATTAGACTCTTAGGAGAGGTATACATCTCCTTAGAAACACAGCCTGTTTGACAGAAAAAGGGGGGATCCGAAGATCGCTTAAAACCCGATTTTCCCAGGAAATGGGAGGACCATGATAATCGCTTAAAACCCCCATTTCCTTAGGCATGCATCTCTTTAGAAAGAGTCTAACAAGTGCACCACTCCCCATATTACAAGATATTGTTAATTGAGAGCAATAGAGATGTTACCAATCCACCACAAATTATCAGCTAGCTTCTTCCGCTTGAAATGATGGTTCCAGTTGCTCTTGAAGTGTCGTATGCACCACCTTTGGGACCAATTCCAGGTTGGATCCAGGCCTAAGATGGCAGCTCTAATGCCGGCGTGCCGATCAGAGATTATTGTCAGGTTCGTCCTCCTAGTGACGTGGAGCTGAAGTTGTCGAAAAAACCATCCATAGCTATCAGCATTCTCTCCCTCTACAATGGCGAAGGCTAAAGGAAAGACTTGTCTATTTGCATCCGCCCCACTGGCAATCAGGAGAGTGCCCTTGTACTTGCCGGTAAGGAATGTACCATCCAAAGTAATCACAGGGATACAAAAGCCAAAACCATCAATAGATGGCTTGAATGCCCAAAACAGTCGGCGGAAATGGCGTTCGTTACTGGCTCTGGGGGTTGTATCTCTTCATCTTGGTATCGAGGGGAGAACACAGTGCCAGGGTTAGACGCCTCCAATGCCAGTATTAACCTGGGAAGGAATGCATATGATTCTTCCCAATCACCGAAGACCGCGGCCAGAGCTTTCTGCTTTCCATGCCACACCTTCTTATAGTTAATCATATAACCATAACGACTTGCAATGTCAGCGATTATGACTTTCACCTTCAGATCCGGTTCAGCCTCAATCAGATGCCTGATAGCCGCAGCAACCACCCTGGATTTCAACTGTCGATGGCCTTGGGAAGTTATGGATGACACACATGTGTGTGTGTTCACCGCACGGGATATGACCCAGTGGCCGTGTCTCTTGCTGTTGATGGCCCGAATCCTAACATTGCACCCCTCGTGATGATTACGGCATCTGACTATGAGCCTTTTGGTGTTGGAATGAGTTGTGTGCCATTCAAAATGGCGAGTCATTGCTTCAGTCTCAATGGCGTGCCACACCTCCTTCTTCGAGCCAAATTGTTGGCCCTTCGTAAACCCAGTGAGTGGGCCTTATATTGGGACCTCTGGGGGCTCCATGTCGCTGTCGACCATCCAATTGTTGTCTGGAATGTGATTGTAGTAGGGGACTGGTACACGATCAGGAGCCACATCATGATCATTATCTGAATCTGACTCTGGTCCTGAATCATCAGCACCTTCAAGAGGGTCGGAGCTGTCTGCACTGACATTGTTCTCTCCTTCTTCATCGGAGGGGTCGCTGACTGGTGCTGCCATGGGAGCTTCCATCTGATCCAGCTCATGAAAGGCACCTTCATCAGCTCCATAATGGTAGTTGTGAAAACTACCGCTGCCTGATTGGAAGTTGTACTGGGGTTGGTTGCCGAGGTCCGGTTGAACTTCTTCTTCATATGACGGGAAAGATTGATGATGGCTTTCACCTTGCCCTCCATCTTGGTACTGAAAATAGGAATGAGGATCATGGTAACTTTGGTAGGGATGATCGCCATAAAATTCACCTCCACCATGGATACCAGATGTTTGACCGTGTCCAGAATGACCGTGTAAACGAACATCTCGGCTTTGGACAATTTGTTGGACCTCAAGAATTCGAGCATGGAATCTACTTCATCTTGAGTGGTTATGGTATATTCCTCATGCCACAATGACCCACTTTCTCTGTTTGGATATCGGTACACCATTCGATCTACTCTTCTCGTGCCATCCATGCAAGTAACGTTAGTGCATATTTGATGGAGGTCTTCAAGCTTCGGTCTGGTACCGACCGTTATTTTCTGAAAATTGCCACCGACGTAGGTGGCCCCCTTTCCGGTCTCTTCTGTGTAACCATTCCACCGTAAGCCAAGCGTGAACTGACGGAATGCCATCTGCACACAAAAAAACAGTAGTTCAGTTAAACTCGTAAAAATCACAAATAACAATAAAAAGTAACACAAAATAAACTTACGAGTTAATGTTAATGGCAAAAACACTAAAGAAATATATAGGAATACAACAGAAAAATGAAAAGAGAGAAGGAGAGGTGTGAAGAGTAGAGGTTTTTCGGCAGTCTTATATAGGGAAAAAAATCAGGAAAACCGCACCTCTAAGGTGCGGTTTTAGTCTGCCATGCAGCCCTACGTCCATAATTCTCTGCATGGGGTTTGTCGGGTGTCGGAGTATTATTGACACACAGACCGCACTTGGGGGGTGCGTTCTGTGTAGCTAAACCGCACCTTAGAGATGCGGTTTGATTTTCGAGGAACAAACCGCATCTCTAGGATGCGGTTTGGCTAGGTCATGCCAGAAACGCACATCGGCCGTGCGGTTTGTGTAGGGGCAGAGTCCAAACCGCCTGGCCAAGATGCGATTTCGGCCCAGGAATATGGACCGCACTATACAGGGGCGGTTTATATATAAAACGCATCCCCCAGGTGCGTTTTATATGTAAAACGCACCTCTAGGGTGCGGTCCATAAAAAAGGTGCTAGTTTTGTAAATTTTTTTGGAAGGGTGCTATTTTTGTAATTTTTTTTAAAAGGTGCTATTTCTGGAAAAAAAACTCCAAACTTCCCTTCATTTAACTCATTTCCCCGTTGACTTTTATAATCTGGAGGAGGCTAGAAGAAGCTACAAAATTCAATCTTCATGCACCAAAGTGGTAAAGAATATACAATATACACAGAACTCAGAAGAAGATGTATTGTATTAGTGTTACGTTGCTATGAATATATATATAATTACTCAATTAACATAATCATTGTATGAGTGATCGAATTGGCAGATAAGAACTACACTAGAATGAAACTATCATGAAAATTTGTTCATGACTCATATTATCTAATTTGATAATCCTTTGACATTAAACACTTTATTCAAATAGAATATAAATATATAATGAGTAAGTTTGATGAAGAACTTTGATTTGAAGGGTCATGTGACCATGGCATGAACAAAATATATTATTAATGTTTTCCAAACACTTATTATTAGGATTATACAATTTCTTAGCACCCTTAACTACATTATGTTATGTGTACTGTATATATGTATGGCTAAATTGCAAGTTTGTTCACTTGAATTGCTAGTAAAATTCACGTTAGCCACTAGAATTACTTTATTCCGTTCGTAATCACTTAAATTAGTTCAACAGTTCGATTTTGGTCACTCTCCGTTAGTCTCCGTTAACTTTGACTGATGTGGCGGTCAATTCTCATTGTTGACCGTTAAATGAGTGACGTGGCAATTAAAACAATAAAAATTAATTTTTTAAAAATTCTACCTCATTATCACAAAAAATAAAAGTGATTGCAATGAAAATAAAAAAAATTGAAAAAACAAAATCTATTCCCCCGACCGGCTCCATAGTCTCGCCGGCGGCGGGACATTGCCGAAGCAGCAAATCCTCCTAGATCTTGCTCGCCTGCACCCGCCGCACCTGCTCCTCTGTTCGAGCCAGGGGAGCTCACCTTCTGGTCCTTCTACAAGGTCGGAATCGCCGAGTTCATCGCCACTTTCCTCTTCCTCTACATCAGTGTCCTCATCGTCATGGACGTCGTCAAGAGCCCTTCCAAATGCTCCACCGTAGGCATCCAGGGGATCGATTGGGCCTTCAAAGGGATGATCTTTGCCCTCATTTACTGCTCCGCCGGAATCTCAGGTCCCCCAAAATCCAATTTCAAATTGAGTTTAAAAATAAGTTTAAGGAATTCAATTGGACTGACAAGATTTTTGTTTTAATGTGAGACAATAGGTGGCCACATTAACCCGGCGGTGACGTTCGGGCTTTTTCTGGCGAGGAAGTTGTCGCTGGCCAGGGCGGTGTTCTACATGGTGATGCAGTGCCTCTGAGCGATCTGCGGCGCCTGAGTTGTGACAGGGTTCGAAGGGAAGGAGTCGTTTCAGCTTCTTGGCGGCGGTGCTAACTCCGTCGCTGGTGGGTACACCAAAGGGAGATGGCCTCGGTGCTGAAATCATCGGCACCTTCGTCCTTGTCTACACCGTCTTCTCTGCCACCGACGCCAAGCGTAGCGCCAGAGACTCCCACATCCCGGTAATTAACTAAGTAACCCACCCAATCATACGACTTTGTCTTTTTCTTGGATTGAAATGAATGGTCTTTTTTTTCCACCATTATAAAAAAAAAGAAATTAATGGTCTTTTTTGCTCGTGGAGGAGGCCAGATCTTGGTCCTTGCTTATGGTAATCTTTGGGTTTGCAAAGAAAAGAAGGAAAATAAAAAATAAAAAAAATTTTATTTTATTTTTATAATAGTAAGGTGGAAAATAAAAATAATTATATTCAAGTCTATGGAATTGATTTCCTAGACACCTTTTCACCAGTAGCTAAAATCAACTCAGTCAAAGCACTCTTGGCAGTTGCAGCAGTCAAGAACTGGACACGGGAGCAGCTAGATGTTTCAAATGCATTTCTCCATGGAGATTTGGAAGAAGAGGTGTATATGAAAATACCTCTGGGACTTGACTTACAGGGAGTTGATCCAAAGGGAATGGCTTGCAGGCTTAAGAAATCACTGTATGGTCTTAAGCAAGCCTCAAGACAGTGGTTTGCAAGGCTAACAGGGTTTCTGCTGAAAAATGGTTTTTCCCAATCAGCTTCAGATTACTCTCTCTTCACCAAATGGGTACATGGCAGAATTGTGGTGTTATTGGTTTATGTAGATGATATAATCATAGGTGGGGATGCACCAAAGGACATAGAACAGATAAAAAAGGCTTTGAGCAAGGAGTTCAAGATCAAGCTGTTGGGACCTCTACAATACTTCCTGGGTATGGAAGTGAACAGGACTGCAGAAGGGATCAGTGTATGTCAAAGGAAGTATGCTCTAGAATTGCTGAAAGACACTGGATATTTGGAAGCCAAAGGGTGCATCACACCATCAGATCCTAAAGTGAAGCTTGCTGCTAATCAAGGAACACCACTGGAGGATGGAGAGGTGTATAGAAGATTGATTGGTAGGTTACATTATGTAACAATTACCAGACCTGACCTGACATACATTGTTCAACAATTATGTCAGTTTCAAAAGCAACCTTGCAGTGACCATTTACAAGCAGCCTACAGGGTGTTGAGATACTTGAAGAACAGCCCTGGACAAGGCATACATTTCAGCAGTAATGCAGACCTGAAACTGGTGGGATTCACAGACTCAGATTGGGCCAGTTGTCCAGACACAAGGAGATCAACAACAGGGTACTGCACTTTTCTAGGAAGTTCTTTGCTAACTTGGAAAAGCAAAAAGCAGACCACAGTGTCCAGATCTTCATCAGAGGCTGAGTACAGGGCTTTAGCTCTTCTGGTTTGTGAAGTCGAGTGGTTGAAGGGATTACTAGCTGAGTTAAGTGTGGAAGTGCCTTTACCTATTTCAATCTATTGTGATAACAGGTCTGCAATACATATAGCAGAGAATCCAGTGTTCCATGAGAGGACAAAGCATATAGAAATTGATATGCATGTAACCAGAGAACGTGTCAAGACTGGATTGATCAAGCTTCATCATGTGAGTACATTCAACCAATTGGCAGACCTGTTTACAAAGGGATTGGATAGAGCACGAATGCAGAACTTACTGGTCAAGTTGGGAGTCAGAGTGACTGCCACAACTTGAGGGAGGCTGACAGAATGGAAATCCAGATTGCAGAAGGACTGAAGAAGAAAAGGAACAAAGGAGAAGAAGCAGGTCGAAACGTGTAAGGAAGGAGAAACGTTTTCAGCTGTCTTTGGAGTTTCAGGAGTAGTTTATTGTTGCTACGTCGTTTTATGTTAGTTGCGTGTAAGAGGCAGTTAGCCGTTTTAATTACTGTTTAAATTTTAAAATAGACAAATGGAAAGCAGCCAAGTGGCAGTGCTCTGTAATCCATTTTGTCTTTGTTTCCCGCTGAGCTATATAATGAAACAGGGTGACCTCAAATGAGACTGAGGATCAACTCTTCCAAAACCCTACCAAAGTTTCTCTTAGCTGGTACCAATGATTCTTGTGATTCCACCATGATCGTGATTCCGCCATCATCGCCTCCCCTCCCCTTTTCCTTTCCTTCCATATCGTTCTACCCCTCCCTCTCCCTCTACTTCCCTCCAATTGATTGCCAAATGAAATCACAAAGGCCAGGGTTCCTCTGTACCTCAGTTGAAGCAATTGCCCTCTTCTTCGGAATTCCCCTAGTTGAGTCTCCATCCTCAATCACTGTCGCCAAAGCTCAGCGCAGCCGCCGAAAGGAATGAGACTCATCATCCCTCTACATGGCGTCGTCCAGAGTAGGGGAGGGCTCATCCTGGGTTCCCTCATTCCTTGCGCTCTCTTCTACTTTCTCCAGTTGTACCTTAAGCGTCACTGATCGCCCAAGCCCCCCTCTTCCTCCTCGAACCCTCCGTCGACGTCCGTTTCGTCGTCCATTTGGTCGTCGTTGCTTGAGAGGACAGAGAGATCAACACTACTCCACAATGTCTTCCTACGGGGTCTAGAGACGATGGAAACTGGAGATGATGGACTAAGCTTCTGCGGCGGTGAGTTTTAAATTAATTAGGGGAGAAGATATAGGTTTAGGGGTTTTTGTTTGCAGAAATGGGAGACAACAGTTAGGAAGGTTTGGGATAAGATTTAGGGTTTTCTGGGTTGGAAGTAGTTCTTCCAGGAACGATGGCATCGATGGCTCTAGGTGGATGGGAAGGGATAGTGGGTTTTGATTGTTGATTTTGTGTTGGATCTTCCGAATTGGGAATGATTTCAGAGTACTGTTGAGATCTACTACGGCGGGATTGGTAACAAATACATAGAGTCAAACTCATTAGGCTTCACGGCGAATTGAAAGAGGCCGTCTTGGTGGTCAAGACTAGTAATCGAAAACATAGATGGCAGTGGACTTTCAGAGTCCTTGGCCTCGAGGTCGGATCGGTCGATGGAGATGACGTCGGTAGTGTCCGACCGGGGAAAGGTTCAACAACTAATAATTTTTTTATTGAAACGCTCAGTTTTGTACCAAATTAAACTTTTTCGATGCAATTGGGCAAAAAGGTACAATATTGGGTGGGTGGGTTGAGTGTGAATTGGTTGGGTTAAATTGATTTGGGTTATTGAATTTTTTATTAATTTTTTTGTTGACGTCGCATGCTGACTGTATTGAGTTAACAGATATTTGGATGGAGATGGACGAAATGATCGTTTTGTTACTGGTCCAAATGTGTTTCATTGTGCAAAATTAAACCTTAGTGACCGTTTTGTACTAAGTGATAAGTTGTGTGACCGTTTATGATAATTAGCCCCATATAGAGGCATATGTCTCAATGATAATGCATTTATCCCGGTCAATTACAATGTGATCTAAGACCATCGGTGAGCCCTTCTTAACAACTCGTTGTTTGGAGAACTGATTCTAGATGGTATCATAAACTTATCTACCGAGAGATCTCGTCTTATAGATATTGGGAAAAACCCATTCGCACAATTCATAGATAATTATGTATAATGTTCTTGATATACAAGGATTTTTCCTTAGAAGGTCGATGTTGCTTTTAAATTTTGTTAATACAGTGTTTATAAAAGCGAGGAAAAATGAGCAAGACTTTTGTCTAAGAGATAACTGTAATACTTGAGGGATATGGATGACCGAAACATCAAAACATGTGAATATAAACTATAGTTGTAGTATATATTGAGTGGATTCAGTGTGATACTTGAAATACCAAAATCACACCAAATCCACTGCCTCCTTTGTTGTCGGCTGAATTTCCCGACCACATACCTTTGAATTTGGTTGAGACCCACCGTGACAAGTTATTTTGCCATCCATATGCGTAAAGAATGATAGAGAATAAGTGGGTTTAGAGACTAAGAAGCAGAGCTAAATATGGCAATTGGAAATTATTGTATGGGTATGAGGGAGGATCTGGTGGCTAGGGGGGAGGGGTGCTTAGTCACTTGGCTAAGCCCCTCCTAGCCCTTGGATCTAGATGGATTGAACTAATGGTGAAAATTAGGGAACAGATAATTAAATAGGGGGGGGGGGGGGCAATTCTGGGATTAGAAGAAAATTCATTTATGTGTTTTTGTTCCTCCAACCGTCCTTTCTGCGTTGTCAACCCCGACTAGGGGAGAGAGAGAAGAGCAGCAGCGGGGAGAGAACGACGACGACAATGGAAGGGGGGGGGGGGGGCGATAGCGACGATGGAGAGTGGGAAATGAGATCGCGACGGAGGCGGCAACGTTGGAGAGAGAGAGAAAACATATCTGGCCGTCGTCGTCGGGAAAACAGAGGAGAGATATACGATGGTGGAGGAGAGAGAGGCAATGGCAGAGGGAGAGCGTCGACGACGATGGAGGAGAGAGAGAGGCGGCGCGGTGATGGAGAGTGAGAGAGGTAGCGATGCCTATAGAAAGAGTCGGCGGTGGAAGTGGTGGAGAGAGAGTCGGCGACGACGGATCTCTCGACATCGTATTTTGTCGTCTGAGGGAAGAACACTGATTTGAATCCAAGTGTTGTCAGTTTGTATTATTAGTATTTTTGTACATAATGTCAGTATGATTTTTTATAGTTTGTACGTTTTGTAATATTAATTTTTACATAAAAAACATTACAAACATGGTTGACAAAAATTACAAACATGTTGCACAAAAATAACAAAGTTTACAAACATTAGAGCATCTCCAACAATGATATTAGGTTGCAATTTCATCAATGATCCCTACTTACACCTCTACAACTTTAAGAAAATACCACCTCTCAATTTCATTCTACCTACATCAATGAAATTCAATTGCAATTGCAATGGGTGGGACCAACACATTAATTTAATATAACTAAACCATCTATCACTATTTCCATAATTTCTTAACCGTTAAAATATATGATAAACAATATTAAAGGGTCCACCCGCGGGGCCCTTTGAATTGCAACAAGAATTGCACGCTTGCAATTGGACCTCACATCAATGCAATTGAGAGTTGCAATTGCAACCCCTTGCCACTTAAGCTTGCAAGTCTCTAAAATTGCACTATTGAAGATGCTCTTACAAAAATAACAAAACTTGCAAACATTACAAAACATACTAACACTACAAAACTATACAAGTATTACAAATAACCACTACTTACAATACAAACCGATGAAACTTGTATTACAAAACTATAAATACAAAGTATACAAATTATAACAATAAGTATACAAACTAGACATCCGAACATTACAAACTACAATGTATACAAATTTGTCATGAAAACGTTACAAACTTGACAAACATAAATAACAAATTAGAAGGACAAACAATATAAACCGAATTTATAAACATTACAAAACAATTTATAAAACAACACAAACTAGGCCGACAAACATTACCAAGTCGGCACCGCCGGCGAAAAATCTTCTGACGCTTTCTCTCTCTCCTCCTCCACCATTGACGTCGGCGTCTCTCTCCTCCTCCACAATCGCCTCTCTCTCTCTCTCCCTCTCTCCATCGATGTTGTGTCTCTCTCCTCCATGGCTCTCGTCGGCCCTCTCTCACTTTACGATCACCGTCTCTTTCTCTCTTTCTCATCCTCCTCCACGACCGTTGTCATCTCTCCCTTTTCCTACTCCACGGTCGTCGCTGTCTCTTGTCCTCCTCTACGACCGCCGTTGTCGTCCCTTGTCGGATCCGACTTTCTCTCTCCCTGCAAAGTCCAATTCATTCTCTCTCCCCGCAGCGCACAACTCTCTCTCTCCCCACAGCACACAACGGAGGAAAAATAGAAACAGTCTTTTGTTTTTATTTTTTAATTATAATTATTAAATGTATAATTACTCTATTTCCCTTCATTAAATTGAGCGAATTAGAGTCACAAGATTTAAATGAGATTGGGTGGCTGGTATTGACTTAGTCATGTGACTAAGACCCCCCTTAGTCACCTGATCTTAGCCTGGTATGGCTAACGGCTTACAGAGCATTTCCATCTGTCATTGTTTTCCATCTCCATCTAAACATTTCAGAATACCTTAGAACAAGAGAACAGATCTCACTGAAGGAAAGGTACAAACCAATCTCATTCGAGAAAAAGAAGCAGTGTTCCCCCCACTGAAACTTTGGCTCCAAGCACAAGTGTAGATCCCTCTAAAGGGTTACTGTTGAGCAGCCAATAAGTCAAGACGAAAAACTCCCAAGGCAATGCGTGACTTCACGACCTTCTTGATTGAAATGGTCTCCCCTCCTCCACTTCCATTGACTCAACCTTAGCTCAAAAAATCAGTACATGAACTAGACAAAATCAGCTTCACTTATTGACTACCACAACAAACAAGAGGGAAAAGTTAAGGTTGCCAGTTCATTTGGAAAGTAAGAAGTTGGTATGGATGATGGATTGTTGAAATCCTTGTCAACAATGGAAGAATTTTGTAAGGGTGCGTTTGGATACAATGATTTGGATTTGGTATTTGTGATTTGGATTTCCAAATACCAAATCATGTGTTTGGATATTAATTACATTTGGTATTTGGATTTGTGTCAAATTCATGGGGTGATTTCCAAATACATGTCTAGTGTATTTTTTGTCAACTTCAAATACATTTCAATAACTAGTGATTTGAAATACCTCCTAACAAAAGAATGGACCTATTTGTAAAATATGAAAAGTTTAGGTACTATAGTGTGAGGCAAAACATATAAAGGTACCAAAATGTAATTTTACCATCAAAATTTCAGGACCTTTTTGTAAAATTTTAAAAGTTTAGGTACTAAATTGTAAAAAAAATAATTTTGGGTACCAAACTGTAATTTACCAAAATTTGTAGTAAGTGACCAGAAAATTAAAAATTGAAATTGAAAATCATAAAATACAAAATACAAACAAATTACAAATGAGTATCCAAACAATGAATTTGAAATACATGTATTTCAAATGCTAATATTTCGAATACATCCATTTCAAATGCTAATATTTCAAATACCTTACATTTAAAATCCACTTATCCAAACGCACCCTAAGTGTATAGAGGAGTGACTTTCTGGTGTGATTGTTTGACCCAAATTTACTTAAATAACATTACAAATTAAAAATATTTGCTCAAATGAGGTTAAAAACCAAGCAAAGGCGACAATTGATTGTACTTAACAGAAGCAAGTTATTTACAGTGGCCAAACCTAAAAGGAGAGATTACAAGAAAGTAGTTGCAAAAAAGCTTTCTAGTCTAAAGTCTCATCTGGCGAAGGAGCTAACATTCAAATGCTTAAACAAAAGGCTTCACATTTGTAGCCGAAAATTGAATCATCCATAACAAAAACAACTAGGAAACTTCTTTTCCCACCTTCTTGATAAGTGTTGTGTGTGAAGTATTACCTCCTTTAGAATCGACAAACTCAGCTAGGGCTTCTGCAGTACGGTCACCATAATACTTGCACTTCCTCATCAGAATCCATTTGGGATTCGTTGTGCCATTTCAAATGCGGTACAACACATCAAACGTATCAACCAAAAATGATTTTTTTTTTTGGCTTAGTCAGGGATGGAGCTAGCTTAAAGGGAGGGGGGCCATGAATTCTAGAACATCCCTACATATAACGTGTAAGTAGCTAAATATCAAAATGTAATGTTGCGATGTAGTGGTTATGGGAAGTTTTGTTAAATCAATTCCCACAAGAAGTAGATGTGTTCGATCCTCCATCTTTGCAGAATTTTTTTAGCTGTTCCAGGGTTCGATCCTCCACCTTTGCACAAGTTTTTAGCTGATTTGGAACACTACAACTACGTGTTATTAAACTGAATCATGTGCATACAACTATTCAATTTTCATGTGCATAAAACCATTCAATTTACAAAGTTTTTTGTGCTATTAAACAAGAAATATTTCAATTGTTTTTCATTTAGATTACATAATTGTAAATCGTTGGCAATATGTCTATGCTGGTTCAAATCCAGCTCGGCCCAATAACAATAATTCATCGATCTATCCTACCCGAACTTTATGACAAATTATCTGACCTACCACAAAACGAGTATGGATATCGACATATCCGTCCAAACCTGCCCCATTGCCATTTCTAATTCAATTTACAAAATTTCTTGTGCTATTAAACTAAAACAATTTAATTGTGAAAGTGGTAATAATATGCTATATGGTAAAATTAATTAAATTCAACAAGGTTTTTGATGAAGTTTTTTTTCTCTAATTTGGACGCAACATCAAGTAGCTTTAGTGTCAAAGAGCATATTGACAATTATATAGTTTTTCTAAGTATTGTTCCAAACGGTTAAAAAAAATTATGCCCCCTTTAATCGTGAATCCTGGCTCCGTTCCTGATGCATGGATTTTAAGGTCTAAGGATTCTTTTGGGAACTATTTGATTGATGGGTATCCGGGAACGCCAAATATGGTGCAAGAACCATTGCAAGAAGAAATCAAAAGCTTTTTAATGGAAAGCCGATCAGTTTATATGAAACCTTGGCTATCAGCAACCGATTTGGTTCTTTTGAAGCTTGCACCTAGCTTTTTACCGAACAACATGAGGGATGGATTTGAAACAAATGAAATGTTTAGGCACTAAGTTTAGAAAGTATTTTGGAGAATGGGGAAAGCCGATCAGTTTATATGAAACCTTGGCTATCAGCAACCGATTTGGTTCTTTTGAAGCTTGCACCTAGCTTTTTACCGAACAACATGAGGGATGGATTTGAAACAAATGAAATGTTTAGGCACTAAGTTTAGAAAGTATTTTGGAGAATGGGGAAAACCCGTAAAAGTGCTATAAAATGTAAGGGGTGTTGCGAGAATCGAACTCACGACCTCTCGCACCCGAAGCGAGAATCATACCACTAGACCAAACACCCAAGTTGTTGTCATGACTTTACATATTTATTAACTAACTTATGAATTTTCTTTTTTCTCTGCCTTTCTTCTCGCTCGAATTCCGAGAACCAGGTGGAAAATCTGTCTCTTTCTAGGGTTTAGAAATCTAGTTCCCGGTTTCGGAATCGAATTCGGTCATCTGTGTTCTTTCCCGCACTGAGTTCCCAGCTCGCAATCTTTCACTACAATGGCTGCTGTGAGTTTTCAATTTTCCCGGAAAAGTTCATTCCTTTATCTTTTGTTGTAGCATTGCTTTGCTTCTCAATGTCTTCGTTTTGAACCGCAGCCTGCTGGAGTTGACAACACGTTCAGGAAGAAGTTCGATCGAGAAGAGTACTTAGAACGAGCTCGCGAGCGGGAAAAGCAGGTATATTTTCCCCCCGGTAATTGAAAGTGGTATATATGTTCCAATTTCTGCTTTCCACCTGATTGTGCTGCCCTTTTCAGGAGGATGAAGGTCGATCAAAGTCTAAATGTGAGTTGGGTTTTGCTTTTATTACTCGCTTAATTTGCGGCGATGAAAATCCTGTCTTGTTTAATTGGTGAAACTTGATGGTTATGTTGCAGCAAAAGGTCCTCCTGTACAGAGGAAGCCCCTAAAGCACAGAGATTATCATGTTGACCTTGAATCTCGGTTGGGGAAGACTCAGGTTAGTTACTTTTCGCACTCTATGTCAAACTTCTCTCCCAATTGATTAGAATTTGGTTGTATAATCTGGCACTAAGCTAAGTGGGCATCCGGTTCTTTTCCTGTAATCAATAAGGGCTTCGAATGAGTTACTTTATTGCAATCTTATGCTGTGTGGCAGCATGGAAATGCCTGACTGCCTGAGATCACAACATGTTATGGTATCCTAGGAATGAATCAATTAATTCGTGGATTGTTCTGTAGCGATGCCTGAGATTTTGGGTTGCTCCTAAATCCTAATACTAATCTGACATTTTTTTGTTTGGATAAGTTGCTCTGGCATGTTAACTTTGATCTTCACTCATTTGTAATTCTTTCCGCTGTTCATTTGTTCTGGCAGGTTGTTACTCCAATTGCACCTCTAAGTCAGCAGGTATGTCCTTCACAGTAGTCATCTGTGTATATTCTTGTGATTCTGCATGTGAAATAGAGTTATGCGTAGGTTTCGAATATGGATAGAATCGAACTGTTACCTGTTAATTTGCATAGTTAAAAGTTTCCTTGTCGGGTGGGTATGGATTGTGGATTCAAATATCCAATATAACCTGCAGATGGTTCGTCTCCTTGGAGTTAAATTTTCTTGTGGCTTCTAATTACTGCTCGATATTAGCAAATATGGAAGTTGATGGGCTTCTTCTATGTCATATGCTGAGTCTACAAATCTTTTTTCCTTTCTCTCTTGCCGAAGGCTGATAGAATTCATTGTTGTTCTGTCATATTCTTTGTTTCTCATATGACAATTCTAATTCCGTATTTGGATGCAGGCTGGATACTACTGTTCGGTTTGTGAGTGTGTAGTGAAGGATTCTGCTAACTACTTGGACCATATAAATGGCAAGAAACGTACGTATTCATCCATCCCCCTAAAAAGTTTCCCACGTTAAGCCTGCTTGTTAATGTGCTTTATTGATTGTTGTAATTGCATTAGCAATATCTTACGTGTAGATCAAAGGGCTTTGGGCATGTCTATGCGAGTGGAAAGAGCTTCCCTTCAACAGGTACAGAAGTTAATATGCATTTGTCAGCATCGTGCTTAGTTTCTGAAATAGTCTTGAGTAGTGAAGCTCTAATCTAATCACGTTTCCAGGTCCAAGAACGATTCGAAATGCTCAAGAAACGGAAGGATCCCACCACGTTCTCTGAACAAGGTAAGAAGCAGATAAGTAATTGTTTAGCTCCTTGTTACTGTTTGTATACTGAGTCGTGAGAATTGAACATTCTGTTTCCATTTAGATCTCGATGAGCGGCTCCTGAAACAGCAGCAAGAGGAGGAAGAACGGAAGAGACAGCGACGAGAAAGAAAGAAAGAGAAAAAGGTTGGTCAAATGAAGTATAATGGTGACTATAACATGGCGTTTGCCTGTGTACTTTGGCTATTGATATTGTACCCGTCTTTGGTGCAGAAAGAGAAGGCGGCAGAGGAGCAAGAAGATATTGATCCTGATGTTGCTGCTATGATGGGATTTGGTGGTTTTGGTTCATCGAAGAAATAGAGGCACGGAGCCCTCTGCAAAGGATTATGTGTGTATAGGTAAATCTTCAGACGAATGCTATCATCAAAGATATATGGTAGTTCTGCGGAGGAGCATATCTGAAGAGTTTTTCGACGCCTGCCTGATTTCCTTGGGGAAAATTTGTACAAATTTCCAGCGCTATAAATCTTGGCGATGCCATTTCATGACTGTTTGATGATGCGCCATTGCATGAGTTTTCGACTCTCTTTTCTTTCGTCACCCTTGGTTAACGGAGAAAGAAAACCTCAGAATTAGGGGTGTGCAACGATATGGTATCCAACCGAACAGAGCATATAGCCTTGAAGCTCGCATTTAGCCGATTCATTAACCATATTATTCTGTTGGGCAGAATTATAGTGAATTTCTGATCCATGCAGAACTTGGGTCCGATCATGGCATACGCCGTTGAGTTTTGGACAAAATTGAATAGTTGCACATCCTAGTCAGGACTCGGGATGAAAACTAGCCGAATTTCATTCCTCGGATCTGGCTGGGATGATCAGGTTCAGTCCGAGCTTGAATTTGTTTGAATTCGGTCCGAACTATTTCGATTAGCTGCGTTTATATTTCCTTGTTTTGCAAGGAATTCATTGAATCCGGAACTGACAGAAAACAATTATGTCACCCCAATCCAACTTCATCAGATCAATGTTTGAGCATTTGTCATGCAGGATGCAGGTGAAGTATAGAAACAGAGGACTATTTTATTCCATTAACCGATGAAACAGGACATATTTTACCAACAAAAACGGACAACTGCCCTTATACCAAATAAACTGAACATGCCATCTTAAGAACATCCATAAGGCCATGCTCCTTCCTGCTTCACTCCGGAGTGTTAGTAGTACTTAAGGAGATACCACAGCGGAGGAGAATCTCCGAAATCGAAACGAAGTGCAGCTGCTGCATTCCTCGAGGTCGCAAAAGGCGACCTCAGCAGGGGAGAAGGAGGCTTGACAGCGTCACCAGCTTCAGCTTTCAATGCCACATTCTTTGAGGACACAGTAGTGGGCTGCATCTTCTTCTCAGGAGTCTCTGTTGGTTCCTTAGGAGTCGCAGTAGCATATCCTCTTCCAGAACCTGAGCTCATCTTCCTTGCTGTTGGTAAATACCAAAACTGAGTGGGGAAAAGGGGGAGTCTTAAGTTCTGATGAAGATTTGAAAATTTGGCTGGTCGGCTGACTATTTATAGAGGCTAAATAGTTCATTGGGGTTCTTCATTTCATTAAATGGGTTTCGTGTCTTTTTATTTTCGGAATCAGACTGTTCACAAAGGTTCACTGTATTTGCTGCAGGTTTTTCCTGAGAGTCTAATTTGTGACGCATCAAATTCTAAGAAGAAAACTTAATGGAGAGAAGTAAAGTTTCTCGAGAAATCAACGGTCTTCTCTGTCACTCTGAGTGTTTCTTCATTCTTGCTATTGGCAGTGGGTCATTTTCACCCTTAGTTACTAAACCACTGGGGTACGTGCATACTAATCGGGACTTTCTGCTACCAACATTGGGGAGGGTTTGCCTCCGATACCAAGGATGCCGCCGGAAACGCTCAAATGGCGCCACTAGGAAACGAACTTAGGACCTCCAACATGCAGAGCTCAATTGGTCCAGTGGTTTCGCCACTAGGCTATGTTACCTTTGGCTATTTTTCACCCTTACGATGAAAGCAATCTCATTCTTTGTCGATCAACCTAAACATGTATTGAGCTCAATGATTCCCTTTAATGATTTAACATCTAGCAGTTATATCCTTAATAGATCATCATAGATGCCTTCTTAATTCTTATAAATAGGGCTGGCTATTTGGACCGGGACCGGATGAAAAACCGGAAACCGGACCGTATAACCCGGACCGAGACCGGACCGGGACCGGATAGTAAACAATCCAATCCAATTTTTGGGCTTAGATTTGAGGTAAAAAACCGAATAAAGACCGGATAAGAGAGCTCAACACCCAAAACTTAAGGGTAATTTGCATAAACGGTCACAAACCTTTGCACTTAGTACAAAACTTAACCAACTCCTCACCCTTTTAGGCCTTAGGCCACTCAAATTCCCACAATCTCAATATAAAATCAAGACCGAATTGGGACCGGACCGGGTCAAGACCGGACTGTATCCAATCCAATCTTCGGTCCTTATATTTTCAAAAAACCCGGACTGGACCGGATCAATTTGGGCCAATTTAACCGGACCGGACCGTATAGCCACCCCTACTTATAAACAAAAACTCACATGCAAAAGAACATAACGTCGGGCCTAAATTCAATCCTAGAAGGCTCTTACAAAGTACAAACTTTCTTTCCGAGGTGGCGGGACACACTCTCTTTCACGTTTACTGGATTCCCATCAATCCCAAACCATGATGACAACACATCAAATTTTCCACTGAACATCCATTTGGTTCAAAACTCAATTTAAACCTTTGAAATCACTTTTAAGACCAAAATTTATCCCCGAGGTATCATATTCCCACTCTGATACCACAAATGTGACAATCTATGTAAATTTCGATTCTTCTTATCATACAAACGATATTAAAATTTGGAAGCTAGGTTGAAACATGCAAGTTAGTAAAATGAAACACATTTTCTTACAAATCATATCAAAATCGGCAGAAACTCATAAAACTCTTGAAAGCATTTCTTAATCGAGATTGAACAACACAAATATTAATGAATGCATTTCATCCTCACCTCGGTTTAGCAATCGAGACTGTGGTCCCCGACCACATACGCTCGGTTTAGCAATCGAGACTGTGGTCCCCGACCACATATGCTTTCCTCTGCGGTTCACGATTAGCGTGCCCAAGGCAATCGTTCCAACCCACGTAGCATGGTAGCGGTTTAGGGGGAAACGAAACCCAAGTGACTTTCCCACAAAAAGAGTTTTCAACCCAAATTACTTTTGCTTTCTTTCATTTCAATTGGCAAACCTTTAAACCAAAGTTTAATTGTAGTGTAGATTCGAGCGAGTGAGCGGTAGAGGTTTTAAAAAATTAAAACTAAAATAATATGTAGGAAGGATGAACACAATTCTAAAAATTAATATCATGATGATGCAATACAAAATATGGTAGAATTTGTTAATTTGTTTTTTTTTCTATAGAAAAAATTAATAACATGAAGAACTTGGCTAATTTGTAAGGAGAAATTTGGCATTTTATTAGAGGAAATATAAAAATTACGAAATAATGTTTTATGGAAATTTTATTATAAATTTTGGCAATGAAGTAAACATCCCATTGTAAATGAATAGTAAATAAAATCCTTCACCATTTCAAATGATTTTCTATAGAAAAAATCCTTTTCTTAATATATACGTAGCCAGTCACACAGAACATTCTAACCTGTAATAATAAACATTACTTTATAACACTGAAGTAATATTATAAAAATCCCGTTATTCTACCAAAAAAATCCCATTATCCAAATCTTATTCATTGATGTACATTAATTTACTATACTACAGTTTTAAGGACGACAAATAAGTTGAGCTAAATCGAGTTTGACCTAACATGATTTTGAAAATTAGAATAAGGTCAACCAGACAAGTGTGGAGATATACTAAAATTTAGAAATTCCTCAACATGATTTCGAAATCCAAGGTTCGATTTTGGGATCCAACCCCCAAACATCCATCTTGATCAAAGAAAATAAATTTACCAACGATTTCATACAATAATTTATTCATGCAATCGATCTTCCAAAATAACTCATAATTTTTTTTATAATGACGAATGCAATATATACGTTCAAAACTATGCCACCCATTTGAATATGTTACTAAACCATGATCACTCGTGACTTTAGCTTAACTACAATTATATCGACAATTCCAAAGAAATTTCTCTAAATGACAATGAACTCATAAATAGGTCATCATATATAAAAGAAACGTACACCTGCATGACCCGAAACAAAATCTTTGTAGGAAATACATTACAAAGCTAAGGTTGGCTGGAAGATACATTTCAAAGCTTAAGGTTGGCTGGAAGATAGTTAGAAGAAAGAAAAGGCATCGTGCTCTCATTCTTATTAGTGATACGAAGTGGATACTTTTAATCACAAATGTAGTTGCGTGAATGTGACATGAGTACTGCTTCTATCCTGTTTCACCCTATTTTGTATTCGTTCTATCTCGAGTTATCTCAATATCTAATTTTATTTCTCTCATTTTGACTTTTATAATCATATTTTCATCTAGTGATATTTTAAATAAGTGCAAGACTTCAGTCTTCAACCTTTTGGACTAAACTAATCTTTTAATTATTTTGTTTGTCATTCTTTGGACTATTTTTCATTGTTTTATAATTAAAAATAAACGTTATTTCCAAATAACATATAACAACAGGATGATCTAGCCCAACAGTACTCACGCGAGCATTACCCGACTTGTCGTCTTGACCAATGCTTGGTGCGGGGCGTGTACTGGAGTATCTGTCTAGCCTAGCCCAATTGTCATAAATGTCCCTCAAACTAAGGGGTCGTTTGCTTGTTGGATTTGAAAAATGAGGGTTTGGGCCAACAAAAACCTTGGGATTTATGTTGGATTTATTGTATTATGGATTTGAAGAGTCTAATGTTTGCATGATAGATTTGATGATGGATTTGTGATGGATTTGTTAAATAAATAACTAACCATCAAGAATTTGCAAATCCCAAATCAATATGTGGGATTTACAAGTCCGTGGGGTCCACGAATTTGGTTCCAAAATAAAGACCAAATCCGTGGACCCGACGGATTTAGCACCGTTCAACAAACAATGGACTTATGTTAAATCCATCAAACTTGGGATTTGAGTACCAAATCCCTGACCCAAATCCAACAAGCAAACGACCCCTAAGGTTCTTCATTAATTTTGATAGAAATGCTAACTTGGAAGCATGAAATTTTGACACACCAAACGAATACGGAAGAGGTTTAAAAAATTAAAACTAAAATAAAATGTAGGAAAAACCCGTTCAAGGATGAACACAATACTAAAAATCAATTACATGATGATGCAATACAAAATATGGTAGAATTTGTTAATTTGTTTTTCTTTCATTGAAGAAGTTGGCTAATTTGTAAGGGGAAATTTGGGCATTTTATTAGAGGAAATATGAAAATTACCTTATAATGTTTTATGGAAATTGTATTATAAATTTTGGCAATGAAGTAAACAACCCATTGTAAATGAATAGTAAATAAAATCCTTCACCATTTCAAATGGTTTTCTATAAAAAAATCTTTTCCTTATATATGCGCAGCCGGTCACACAGAACCTTCTAACCTGTAAAAATAAAAATTATTTTATAAAATTGAAGTAATATTATAAAAGTCCTGTTATCCAAATCTTATTCATTGTTGTATCATTAATTTACTATAATATATTTTTAAGGACGACAAATAAGTTGAGAAAAATCGAGTTTAACCTAACATGATTTTGAAAATTAGAACAAGGTCAACCAGAAAAGTGTGGAGACTGGAGATAAAAATCACATTGACAAATCCCTTTTCATGGTTTCGAAACCAAGGTATGCATTTTGAGATCTAACCCCCAAACATCCATCGTAATCTAAGAAAATAAATTTACCAATGATTTCATACTATAATTTATTCATGTAATCGATCTTCCAAAACAACTC